TATATATATATATATATATATATATATATATATATATATATATATATGTAGTGAACTAGACCTCCGACATCAACCTGTCTCTGAAGACCTTCAGGGGACAGGAACTGTTATTTCATTGATTTGAATCCAGAAATACAAATTATCTCATCAAGAGACTATTTAATTGTATCCTGAACTAATCAATTGAAAGAACACTCTTCTTTTTTTATTATCATTACTATTTTACAATATCTTGATAATCCAAAGTGTGTTTAGTTCATACCATTTCTAATGTTGAAGTGAACCACTCATTTAAATCAACTGTGAAACAGTATTAATGATTTTTAAACCTCAGCAGATTTTTGTCACATCGAGATAAAACATAATTTTACTTGAGAAACAAGTGGTGCTCTGCTTTCTCCATAACGGGAGGTGATTTCTCCTCCTACTCGTGTCCAGCACCTCCTTCTCTGACTGACGATGTGTCCCCCCTGTGGAGCAAATCGAAGCGCAGGCGCGTGGGTCAAATGACCGATTTCAGTGTAGCAGGAAAGACACGACATCTCAGAGACTCCCCTTAAATTTATGTCACAAGTACAGATTTTCAATAGGCCAAGTAAAACCAGTTATGATCGTCAAATCTCACCCTCACAGTGGGGGTAGGGGGTGAGTCGGTGGGTGATGAAGAGGACGATCATTTGTTTTCGAAGAGGAAGAGCGGACCGAGCCCAGGTGTGACTGTGCAGAGGATGTGATAAGCTGCTGATGTATGAACGTCGCACGGCCTCTCACTGATCCTCTCATAAAGCGCAGCACGGCTAATAAAGAGTTTTGACCCGTGGTTTTTGTTCAGGACAGGAGTCTGAAAACACAGCTGGAGCTGCAGCTTATAACTTATAGCGCTGTTTTAAATGGTGAAGAACATTCGTAGTTCTCAACTTTGTTGGGACTTGTTTTCTGCATCGTCTACAGAAAACATTTTTCAACTGCTCGTCTGACGGTTTAAATCCCAAATGACGGCCATTGTTTGTATTTTTCTGCACAGCAGCGCTGCTCTCCTCTCTCTGTTTTCTTGTGTTAACACCCCCTCCCCTGCCCCGCCCCCACATACCTGGAGAAGCAGGAGGTGGTGGTAGCATGCACAGGTGAGGTGCTGTGTTTGTATTCAAAGAGGGAGAAGGAGGGGCTGGTGTGAATGCACCCTCAGACAGGAGAAAAAGAACTACGGATTTTCAAGTCTAATAACACTCCATGGTTGCGATAAAGTCATTTTAACCATCATGAATAGAAAAGCCAGAACCACCACCATCATGCTCAACAGTTAGAAGACCTCCCTTTGGCTCCTCCAAACATCTGGTGTTGTGTCAAACAGCTCAGTCTTTCTTTGGTCTGACGTCCAGAGGACATCTGGCTGGTCCACGTGCACAGCCACAGTTTTTACTGCAGTTTGAAGCAGTCACTGTTGGAGCAGGAGCTTCTTTCTCAGTCTTCAGTCCTTCGGAAAGTAAAACCTGCTTCAATGTGGGAAGAAGCTCCAGTTCTTAGCAGACTGACTTCTTGTTTTTAAAGGACTTATGCTAAAAGTTTCTTTCATCCAAGGGAGTCGTAGTAATTCTGTCCAACCAATTCTTTTTTGTGCTGGCAAAGAGAAACTACTAACTGCAATCAGTCATGATCAGTAAGGTCCAACTGAAGACCTTTTCCAAACTTCAGAACCTTTTTAAAAGTATTTAGGTGACTGCATGGATATATTTGACCCAATGTGGATCAATTGATTTCATTCTTGTTTATAAAAACCATTAAAGTTAAAAGTTGTAGAATCAGCAGTCCACCCTGGATAAAGAACCAGATTAAAAACCTAAAAGTATCAAGGTCAAGGTCAAAGTTTATTTATTGTCATTCACATCATATGTGGTGCATGTGGTGGAATGAAACTGTGTACACTGGGTCCCAGTTACATCCAACAAAAGTATATATTGTAAAGAAAAACAGTGATAAGATTTAAGAAGTGAACTAAGAACACACTAAACATTAATAGAACAGCTTCAGGGTAGAAGCTGTTCCTCAGTCTAGTGGTTCTAAAGTATGATGACCTTCTCACTGAAACTGGGTGAAAACTGGACCGGAGCACCTCACACAGCACATTATTCAAACTATTATATGACCCAGACACGCAACGACCTTTTATAACCTTTGACCTTGATTTGTGACCTTAACCTTGAAGCTGGGGTGATGAAAACACTCCTTCTAGTGACGATGCAGATGAGTTTGAAGTTCATCAGATTCTCTTGAGCGGATCAGAAGTTCTGGTTGGGACAAGAGAAAGCTTCACCAGAACACAAGAGATGTAGCGCGAGCCGTCACCGATCAGAAAATGGGTCAGAGCCAAATCAAACGCTGCCGTCGTGTAGACCTGATGGACTTTCTGTGGTTTCAGTGTCCTACGTGGAGAGGTGTCGGCCGCACCGCTGGCGCTGTGCCGAGGTCACCTTCACATGTCCAGACGGGCCGCTCCACCAGAATTGGGTCAGCAGCATCAGAGAGCAGCTCACCAGCATCAGTACGACATCACACACACACACACGCATGTTCTTGTCAACATACTTTGTGGGGACTTTGCATTGGCTTCCATTAATTTCTGTAGCCTAACCCTGACCCATCCACAATTCACACCTTAGTCCTAAACCTAACCTCTACCCCCCAACAAGACTTCTTATAGGACCTGGCTTTGGTCCCATAAAGAGCAGCTGGTTCCCACAATGAATGATTTTTGTAAAATTGGTCCCTACAAGGTAACCTGAAACAAACACACACACAGTGTGAGACTGCTGTAACGTGCTTGTTGTTGTGTGGACAGCCAGCAGACCCAGACACCTGTTGGTCTACATCAACCCGTACGGCGGGAAGCGTCAGGGCGAGCGCATCTACGAGCAGAAGGTGGCGCCACTGTTCGCCCAGGCCGGGATTCTGACACACGTCATCGGTGGGTCTGTCACCACTGCACACTCCTGCACCGTCCTGCAGTTTGACGCTTTTACAACATGGGACAAAATAAAAAAGATCAGGTTTTTACCAGAGCTGAGGGTCAATAATCCATCCATCCATCCATCCATCCATCCATCCATCATCTTCACCCGCTTCTTACTTTTCGGGTCACTGGTGCCCATGTCCAGCCATCACTGTGTGAGAGGCGGGACACCTGGACAGGTCTCCAGTCCATCACAGGGACACACAGAGACAAATGAGACAACCAACCATTCACTCTCTCACCTAGGGACAATTTAGAGTTACCTGTCAGTCTAATGTGTTTTTGATCTGTGGGAGGAAACCCACGCAGCACGGAGAGAACATGTAAACTCCACACAGAAAGATTCACGGATTCAAGGTTCTTTATTTGTCGTTTGCACATGTGATGCAAACGACAAATAAAGAACCTCTGACTCGGATGTTCACAGGGCCCCAGTTACATCCAACAATAAAATGTAAAAGAAAAACGGTGATAAGATCAAAGATATGACAAAGAAAAACATCAACTAAAAATCTCCTGATGCTTGCTCAATAATCCAGGTAGAAAAATCTAAAAAAGTTAAATCTGGTCCTCTGGACATTCAAAAAACAAAACAAAGCAAATCAACAAAAAAAGTAGAAACGTTTCGTCTCTCATCCAAGAGCCTTCCTCAGTCTGAGGAGCTGTATCCAGCTCAGTCTCTTAAATAGCACCTTCTCAGAGTGGATCAACCAGTTTGCTGCTGACAACCAAAACCAGCTGATCACATGCTCAAGAAGGACCATCAGCCTAACATTGGATCATTAGCACCTGATGGCTGTTTACTATTCACAGAGGGCTGAGTGATACTAGCAATCACAGCATTGTAAGAGGGGGACAGTTGAACCCGGAGGCTCCACCCCTGTTTAATGATGGACGGTTTCTTTTCACAAAGAAATCTCTGGTCCAGAGGACCAGATTTAACTTTTTTAGATCAACTAAAAATGCACTAAGCACTAATAGCATAAAAAAATACACCGAACAGCAGCACGAGCATGAGTCTGTGTGAGCAGATGAGCACGAATGAACACATCAACATGAACCAGATCAGCAGCAACATGAAACAGATCAGAAGCAACATGAAACAGATCAGCAGCAACATGAAACAGATCAGCAGCAACATGAAACAGATCAGAAGCAACATGAAACAGATCAGCAGCAACATGAAACAGATCAGCAGCAACATGAAACAGATCAGCAGCAACATGAAACAGATCAGTAGCAACATGAAACTGATCAGCAGCAACATGAAACTGATCAGCAGCAACATGAAACTGATCAGCAGCAGCAACATGAAACAGATCAGCAGCAACATGAAACAGATCAGTAGCAGCATGAAACAGATGAGCAGCAGCAACATGAAACAGATCAGCAGCAACATGAAGCAGATCAGCAGCAACATGAAACAGATCAGCAGCAACATGAAACAGATCAGTAGCAACATGAAACAGATCAGTAGCAACATGAATCAGATCAGCAGCAACATGAAATGGATCAGTAGCAGAGACATGAAACAGATCAGCAGCAACATGAAACAGATCAGTAGCAACATGAAACAGATCAGCAGCAGCAACATGAAACAGATCATTAGCAACATGAAACAGATCAGTAGCAACATGAATCAGATCAGCAACAACATGAAACGGATCAGTAGCAGAGACATGAAACAGATCAGCAGCAACATGAAACAGATCAGTAGTAACATGAACCAGATCAGCAGCAACATGAAACAGATCAGTAGCAACATGAAACAGATCAGAAGCAGCAACATGAAACAGATCAGCAGCAACATGAAACAGATCAGCAGCAACATGAAACAGATCAGCAGCAACATGAAACAGATCAGTAGAAACATGAAACAGATCAGCAGCAACATGAAACAGATCAGCAGCAACATGAAACAGATCAGCAGCAATATGAAACAGATCAGCAGCAGCATGAAACAGATCAGCAGCAACATGTTTGTTTGTTTGTCATTTTTTATTCGTTTCATATTTAAAATGCAAAAACAATTTAAAAACCAAATGAAAAAAAAAACCACGTCATAAAATGAAAGGTAGTAGAAGAAGAATTTTTTTTTATCATATCTGCCCCTTGTTTAAAAGAAAATCAATTCAAACAATCAATTCAAATAATAATCATCTATAAGTAATATATTAAAATAAATAACTCATCACAATTTTATGTATTTATATGTATCTTTCCAAAATTTTAATCTTAATCATTTTCTTAAATATAGGCAATGGCCTTACTTTTTTTACATCGTTTTCCAAACTATTCCACAGACCTATTCCCTGAATTGAAGTAGACCGCCCCTTTAAACTGGTTCTGTACTGTGGTTTAACAAAAAGGTCTGTTCCCTTAAGATTATAGCAACTTTTCCTTTTTACAAAATAAGTTTGAATGTTTGAAGGTAGTGTGTAGTTCTGAGCTTTATACAGTAATAAAAGAATATTATAGTTAACCAAATCATAAAACTTCAGTAATTTCAATTGATAAAATAAAATACTAGATGGATGACAATAATGCTTTCTTGTGATAATTCTTATAGCTCTTTTCTGCAAAATAAAAATAGGCATCGTTATAGTTTTACATGCTGTTCCCCAAACATCAACACAATAAATTAAATGTGGGACTATAATTGTATTATACAGCAAATACAAGGCTTTATCATTCAATAAGTCCCTTACTTTATACAGTACTGCGGTGGATTTAGATATTTTAGTTTTTACAGAATTTATGTGCTGTTTCCATGACTGTTTATGATGTAATTTTTCACAGTGATTCTCCTGGTTAGAGATTCATGAGTCCAACAGCCTCAGGGTAGAAGCTGTTCCTCAGTCTAGTGGTTCTACACTTAATGCTCCTCAACCTCCTTCCTGAGGGGAGCGGGGCAAAAAGTGTGTGTGCTGGGTGAGTGTGGTCCTTCATGATGCAGGTGGCCCTCTTCCTGCATCTGGAGGTGTAGATGTCTGTGATGGTGGGGAGAC